CAGGAATATTCATTCTTGAAAAGGCAACTATGGAAGCAAGAGGATGTCACAATTGTGATTAAGATTTTTAACTTTGGGGTACTTACTCCAGCCCCTCATGCTTGGCACAAAATTAGTCAGGAAGAAGACTTGGAAGGCCAAAAAACCATGCATAATTCCTTAACGATTCAACTGCTGGAAGCATTTGCCTGCCAAACAGAACCCTTAAATTTGCTCTGACTTGACTTGTAACAAGGCATTAATTCAGGTTCGGTATTTGCAAGGGCTGTAAAAGATACTTTTTCACACTCCTACTCCAAAAAGTAGGAATCTTAGGAATGAGCATGCCAATCCAAGACAGTTAGCAGTTCTTGTGATAAGGAGAGCTATCGTAATGCATTATGTAAAATAAAAACAATGCCACATTTCAGTGAATGTACTGAAAGAACTGTGAATCAGTACAGGAACTTATTTTCAATCAGAGTTTGAGACAGTTATTTCTCTCAGAAGGCAGAAATAAAACAAAATGACTTCGCATTACAGAGCTCATCACTCAAATACAAGGATCTGTTTATACTTACACTGATCATTAAAGAAATGTTTTCCCGACAAAAAATGGGATTAAAGTTTTCAAAGGAGCTATTCTGTGGGGCTGGGGGATGATTCTTTATGTGTGATGTGACTTTAAGTCCTAGAAGTTTGGAATGGTTTTTATTTTAGTGCTTATAATTATACTAGTGTGCCTGCATGCAACCACGTACTTCAGTATCATAAATACCAAGCAGATACAGAAAAAGCACCACTGAAACTGGCAGGATTCAGGGGAAAAAAGGCAAAATGAAACTTACCTTTCTGCTGCCAGGACTAATATTTGCCTTTGTTGTTTTTCCAGAATTCAAGTAACAAACCTGTACATATAACCCTGCAAACCCAAACACGTTGTAGGAGACTACATGGAGGGGAACCACTTCTCTGCTTTGACCACGTGCTGAGAATTTGTGCTACCAGGATGCAAGAGCAATCTTATACAAGCAACATATGCAGAATGTTTGCTGAGGATATTACAGACAGGTTTCTCAGATTTGCAACTACGGTACTGAAAAGAAATGCATTTTGCTCAGAAAGAACAGGCAGGCTTCATGTAGGTGCTTTATTTTAAAAAAAAAATTTTTTAAAAAATCAGAAAATCTTGAGCAGAATGTAGGTAGCAATGTCTTTTATAAAAATTCTCCAAGTACGTACGCTGCAAGAGCCCGAGCCAATCCTCTCCCACAAGGTAAATTCCATTTACAAGATTTAAATCACAATAGCCAGTTCTGCCTCATGAAACGAGCTTCTCTGAAGCCTGAATTGACAGCATGTGACATAAGCTTAGTATCATCTCATTTATTACAATAACTTCTTTTCAGAAATGAGTAACCACGAGGAGGTTTCTTCCCCAGAATTATACATCTGGGCATCTCCATCATCTGAGGAAAGTTAATAATGGGCAAAAAGGAGTAAGATAAAAATAACCTGAAAGATGCATTTGCAAAAAAGTTCTTAAGTTATAGGAAAAATAAGTAGTAGGTACATGAGAAAGCAAGGTGCCTGTTTTGGTTTGGTGGGGGTTTTTGTTGTTGTTGTTTTGTTTTGTTTTTTGTTTTTTTTTTTTAAATTCAGCTTTCTCAGGAGAATGGCAGCTTAGTTCTCCCTAAAGAAAGCTCCGCGGAAAAAGGAGTTAAATAAAACTCACAGGAACTCACAATTCCCACTCCAGCCTACCTCTTTTGAAAAATACATTCTTCCTTATATTTATTTATGCCTACTGCCCTCAATCATCCAGTCTCTAAAATGCTTCTCCATCAAGCTTCTGGCTCTCCAGTCACCAACATTTACAGTGGGGATGATTTTCTGTGGCTTCAACCATTGAACAAAACGCTTCATTTCCAGGTAACTGCTGTGTTCACTGTAAGGAATCCCTGAAATGAAACAAATCACAGTGATCTGTCAGTCTACTTAGCTTCTTGCCAAAATACTTTTGCAAGCCTTCCAGCTAAGAAATACTTTAGATAATATTTTTTTAAATTCATATTGGAGATCTAAAGTTTATAGCTAAGGTAAAACGAAAACCCAGATTTTCCTTCTGGAAAAATGATCTTGCATTATGTTACCAAGTCATTCCTCAGTGCAAACTGAGCGACACCAAGCATTTTGTTAAATGAATGTTAAAATCTTAAGAGATTCAACTCCACCCACCAATAAGAACTGGGAGGAAGAGGAAGACCCAGTGTCTCTCAAATGAGTGAAGTATGGAATAAAATCTTGGCTCTGGAACTGCACTGCCACCAGCATCAGCCGGGCCAAGATTTCACCACTGAAGTCTCTACATATATCAGATAAAAGTGTTTATTTGCAAGAGGAGAACAGGAGCAAAATGTATGTAAAAATCTGCATTTACAGTGTTCTCCATCTCTCAGTTCACAGATCTCTCCCGGAGAGATCCATCTGTTCACTTTATCAACAAGTTATCAGAAAAAGCATTGGTGACAATGAACAGTAGGAGTTTCCAGAATAAAAATATGAAAACCATCCACATAAAACTAAATGCACTGAATCTTTACCACTGTTATACCATATATGGTGATCTTCCCTCTTGTCTGAGGTTTGATATCCACCAGAGAACGGCATGAATCAGAGTAGGTCCACCCAGTAGGTTTGAAAGCCAGAACTTGATCAAAATTCGCAGAAAACTTATTCAAGTGATCTTGCAAGCCCTATGAAAAGAATATAGTGCATACTGAATCCTATCAAATAGCTCATTAGTCTAAAGGTTGGAGATTTCATAATGGAGAAACTTCAGACTAAATTTTATTTTCATGTTTTGATATGAACTTTTTTATTTTAAATACCATCTGCCTTGAAATTATTCATGATAAATATTTACATTTGCAGAGCACCTTGTACCTTAGGATCTCAATTGTTTCATCGGGATAAGCACATATTAACAGCTATGCATTACAGGTCAGAACACATCAGGCACAATCACATCTTCTTATAGATCTTTCCCCCTGTCATTCATCTTCCTTCTCTCAGCTGGAGGTCAGCACTCTGGCAGCTGAGTGGTGATAAAAGATGGTGAAAGCCTGCTGCAGTGCAAAATCACCTGGTTAATTTAAAGTGCCGCTGACATCCTGACATCTGCTTATGCCCAGAAGCGCTCAAAGATTAAGTGAACTACCCAAAAAATTGCAGCAAGCCAGTGCATGAGTTGAGTATTGCTCCGAGCACTAAACCATGTTTTACCACACCTCCATTCATGATAGGAAGGAAAGCATCTCTCATCTCTTCGTTCTAAAAAAAAAAATAACTTGAAAATGTTTCCAAGTTGGCTATGTTAACCTTCAACGTTGTTTAAGCTAGCATCGGGAGAAAAATGAGAGGGAAGTATAAGGAATGTACGATCCTATTCCTGGATAAAGTGAAGTCAGTATTATTTCAAACCAAAAATAGAAAAATCAATTTCATGTGTCCTGTATAGAATCTTAAAGGCACATCTCCATTTGAAAGCCCTACAAGATTATAGAACTCAAACCCATAAGCTTTATTTTGTATTTCTCTTCCTTCTGCCGACATAAAGACTGATTAAAAAAAGGTGGGCAGAGGGGGCTAGACAGGCTGTGACGGAACACTAACCTGTCAGATACTTGACAATTATTAAGCAGGGAAGCGGAAAGCTGCCTGTGACACTACCACATTTAATAGCACCTTCAGTACAATGTCCAGTAGCAACATACTGAATCCATCAAACTGGGCACATAAAAGAACAACAAAAAAACCCCTACCACAACACATGTTTCATTCAGCAACAGGAATTATGGCTAGCTGCCATGACTGTTAATACACTGCAAATGTTCAGTCTTCACTAGATTGAAGATAGAACAGTAGCAGTTTAATTCTCCTTCACACTTCACTTTAGGAAGATTAACATAGCTTAAGGTAATAATTCACTTATTTGCTCCCCGTGCTCTAACAAAATCTAAATACAGTACTTGAAATACAATGATAATTATATTAACGAATGCGAATCTGCTTTCAAATTTTGTTATAAATCAAGTGTGCAACACTCACATTAAGGATGCAATTTCAATCCCATAAAAAATTATTCGTGCATTTCAATCACAGACACTTTTGAAAATCTCGCCTCAATGCTAGCACAAGACATTACTGAGCTAAGCAACATAGAAGAGGTGCACAGACCTGAAGACCCCAGTTCTCTGGAAATCTTCCATAACATATTCGAGTGGCAGAAGCCTCAATTTTTGACTGTTAAAAAAATTGTTTGTTGCAGAAGAACCATGCACACATTTTAGAAAAGATGGCCTCTTTCCACAGAACAGATTACTACAGTGTTTATTTATAACAAATCCACTTTAAATACACATTCCAACTTCTTATTTTATTTCTTTAGCCAGCACTGTTCTAAACCTTCATCCTTTTAAAATGGAAAATATATTTCATTGCTAAATCAACCTCCTTCAGTCACCATGACAGCCTGCTATCTACAGTGTCGCTAAAGTCACCAGTACATGCAAACGGATTCCATAAGGTACGATAAGACTCAAAGATGATTAAATAGTGAATTTACAATCAGCCCTACCGAACACCAATTAAACTCATTTGGCTTATTCAAGAACAGCTATTCATCAGTACACACAGCAATCCCTGTGTTTTACTGGAGTAAAACAAAGTATTGCAGTCAAGTACCACATCTCTGAGGGTTTTTTTTATTAAATCTTTCCTTTTCATATATCAAGTCCACTTGCAATAATGCAGCAATCAATGTTTTATTACTAGAAATATTTTAATTAAAGAACCACACATATAAAAATTATAAATAATTTTTTAAATTTGTGTAAATGTTATCCATTAAGAATATCCAGAGCACGAATCTACAGCACGTCATCTCACTTTTGACCCAGGCAGCACCTGAAGAAAGTTTGATATCAACTCCTAATAAACAAACTCCTCAAGAAAGCCAGAACTATACATAGGAAAAAGCCAAATGAACAAGAATAACCCCATGGAATCCAACACCAATATGGCAACACAAAAAACGTATTCCTCTGCCACTGATCCCCTATGGCTTGTTCTTTCTAGTTTTACCCTTCAGACTTCACACATCTTAGCCAAACTCTCATTTCAAGTACTGGTTCTTTTCAAGGGTGCAGTCATAAGGCCTAGATAAAATACATCAAGTCTAGGTATTCAGTATTATGAATGGGACTGCTTTCATCCTAAGTACAGATCAAAACTATCTATATGAATTTATAAAGCAGAAAACATATGCTTTCTTCTCAAATTTGAACTTGTTTCTTCAACAGATTTTTGTGACAGTGACACAACTCCTGATGCAGTGATAGAAAATTGCCCAGAATTCAATATTCAAATAAATGAAGATAAAAAGTGATGGAAACATTCAAGCCAGGTAGCACAGTTTTCCTCACTGTGGCTGCATTTATATAGAAACGTGCACATCTTGACACAGACAGTTCAAGCAGAAAAGGGAAACGCACCATACGTTACTGTCACCAAGTCTTTGGCCAAGTGAAAATCTAGTGTATAGCACATATTGCAAGGTTGCTGTGGGTTTACAAAAATCATCCTTCAACCTGTCAAAAAAACATTGCCTGATCCACTTATTTTTCATAGTGGATTTAACACAATTATGGTCGCTATTCATTTTTGTCTGCTTCAGTTCTAGGCAGAAGGTACCAACATTAATCTTTAAACTCTGGTTACTAGGGGAAAGACAGAGAGAGGTTTCTGTACCTTTCTAAGTGCCTGTGGCTTTTAGGTGAATGACACTCTCTGCTGAATCAATACAGTGTTTATAGATCATACATGAACAGCTACGATAGTTGTTCACAAATAATAAAACAGCTGACTCTGAAATGAAAAAACATGCTTGATACTATTCCTGAAAATCAACATGGAGAAAAGCAGATTTCAGATAGCCCCCAAACTGGAATTAAACAGCTGGACAATGCCACCAACGGGAAAAAAACTATTTGCAACATCGACACTGCAAAAATACTTCTAAAATTCCTGAATATGCATGCAAAAAAATATCAATTTTATAAAAAAAATTATAACATTTTCCAGCAATCTGGACACTCAATGATCAGGGGAAAAAAAGCAAGCCCCTGATCACAGCAGAAAGCCTGCAAACAAGGAAGCATAGGCAGGAGCATCTCAAAATGATGAACTCATTTCCTTTCTGCTCGGGGTAAAAAGGAAAGCTGTGAGCCTCCAGATTTAATCTTGGGAGCAGTCAGCTACGGAAACATGGAAGCTTTCCTTGGGCAACTACAGTTTTACCAACAGTTACCGCAAACTAGGCTTCAGTTGTGGTAAGCACATGTAGCTTATGCAGCTTTTTTTTCTTCCTTATCTAGAAACAGGCCAGAGAAGTTTTTCAATAAGAAAAGGCAGAAGAATCATGTTTTAGTTCTTAAACCTATCGAGCCTGGAGCACAGACATGTTTGTTTTGTTTTGTTTTTTTTCTATTAGTAAAGAACATAACAGGGGAAAAACAGGTATAAAAGTGGGGGTTCTAGGAGATACTATAATACACCATCAGGGTTTGGCTATTTGCATTCTACTAAAAAGGCAACTAATGGACACGATCACAGATGTACTCAATTTACTAAATAAGGACTGAATCTGAGATTTTGACTACAAACACTCCCATAAGGATTTCATGGATTTGTAGGTTCGCAGCTGAAACTACATAAGCAGGAAATTAGCCCAAATTAAGAAGTAGGATTGTGTTTTTGAGTAGGGCTAGGGATCAAATAAAACAGAAGAGGTAGGAGAGATCCAGAAGATAACAAAAGCATTGTCATTTAGTGATGACGATCACTAAAAAATTCTGGCTTTCCCACTAATGAGCCAGTAATTCAGGACAAAACCTGTATAATCCACCAGAAGACAAAAACCTGCAACTGGAGATGATGACATCAGCATTTACATGGTCTGTAAAAACAGGATGATACCATTCATCATTCTTTAACTAGAATGAGATTACAAGTGATCAGATAATTTATTCTTAAAAACATTTTCTTTTCTGAGGTCGTGTTTACCGATTCTGCTGGAGCAGAAATAATATAAATGGTCGTATGAACTCATCTTTAAGCATTTAACATTCTCCACATTTTACTGGTACTACATTCCACCTGGGCATTCATCTAGCTACTGGCCTCATCGGATGTTTAGCGCTTTGAAGTCTACCTAGCATGCCTAACTTACATGGACACAAAACTACTCATGACAGCATGAGACCACATTCCAACAACTTCACACATGAAGCCAAAGCCCCAGTGGAGAGGGCCATGGCTGCTACACCAGAACTCTTGTCCACTAGATCACTGTGCCTTTAATCTTTCCTGGCCCTTTCAGCGCCCAGGCATAGCTTCTCGCACGCTGTAGATTTGCCTAGAAACTCCTCTTCTCAGAGATGAGACCCTGCACATGATACAACTGCTTCTCCCTGAGAAATAAGGCTCTCTAGACATCCTTGTGATATAATCACACCCTCTGCCTGGAAGTCTAGCCATGTGAGTATGCCATACACGCTGGGACACGTGACAGCAGAATCACGTAACAACCCAAAAATCTGCAGAAGAAGCTAAAATGTAGTACTGTTTAAGACAACACAACACATTAAAAATAAATCCATACACATTTCCATTACTTATTTTCTGCCCCACCGCGGAAAAGATTATATAACAACATTAAAACATTAAGTTATTACGTTCTATCTCCTGCAGCTCCCATCCAAACCGTATAGCCTCTTTTTCTCCTTTTTAGGTCAACTCTGACCTTCACTGGTCCTGCAGCTAAATACTATCTTGCTCTGAAGGATTTGCTTGAGATGGCACAGCAGGCCTGAAGCAAAGCAGGAAAACGAATCCAAGTCCGTAAGGCCTAACAACCACTGTTTTTCTCTTTCTTCCAGGTTACCTTTAATCTAGACCCTGCTGCTTTGCCTTAATGCCATCCTGCATTTTGTAGTCTATTTAGAAAAACTTTCTTTCCCCCCAGAAATTAGTCACCTTTCCTAACTACGAAATTCCCACAAACACTCCCAACAACAAAAACCCGCTGTCTTAAATCTCGACTGAAATGTGTATTTGAAGTCAACTTAAATGAAACAACGTCTTAAAATAAACTGTTTCACTTGCTTTTCCTACAAATATTAGAGAAGATTGTGTGGAAAAACTAAAGCATGTGTATATATGAGGTGTCCTTCAATTCACTCAATGTGTGCATTTGTTTATGCGCGAGTTTTCTTCGTTTTCAAGTATCCTTTCTCCATGTAAATCTTCAGCACAGAAGGAGACAGAATATTCTTTTAAAAGATGAAAATATGAGTATAAATACATGGAAATTGAACTGAGAAGAACATGGAGAACCTTATTCCTTTTTTATCGAACACCAGACTGGAAGCTGGCCATGTTTACAGGCTGCCTCAAAACAGAGAGGCTCACAGGCAGAAAATCCTTTGTCTTTTCCTACATCACACCAGGTAAAAGACAGGCTGAAAACAGGAACTCCATGTCACAATGTATTAATTGCTAATAGGACAGATCCTGCAGTCATTACATAAATCTACTTCAAAAAGGCCCACAAAGAGCAAGCCTTTGAACAAACCTCATCTTATCTTGTACAAGCACCGCATTGAAGTGAAATTACACTTTCTGTGCATCATGTTTGGAGACAGATATTAATGTTTAATTGCATTTCATTTTCAATGTATTGCTACATGTCAAAACGTTACTAAATAAATATGATCTGACAAGAGGTTAAAAAGCACCAAACACAACACCAGTTGGGAGGAGCCAACAGTAAGATTAGCCAGCAAGTTTATCAACAGAGTATATTTTCTGACCTTACCTTAAAATTAATTTGCATCATGGGAAGCACATGAAGCAAAGTACCATCCCAGTCCACACTGATGAGGGAATTAACAGCTGCTGACTCCAAGCACTGCAGTGTTTTGTACTTGTCGCGGGACATACTTGCTTTTGAGCCCAGAACTTCAGCAATTGCTTTAGGATTAATTGGGAAGAAATCAGATAAAGAAAATGATAAGAGGTCATTTTTTGCTTGTTTTGGAGATATCCCTAATTATTGCACTGGATCATTTTTACTGATGAAAAAAATCCATATTCAAGAGGATACAGTGTTTCATATTCTAAAATTTAGACGAGAAACATATAGTGGCTCTTAAAAAACTCTGGCTCCTACGTTTCAGCACCAGAATTGTATATGACAACTGGAAAGAGAAGGAGAATAGAAGTACATCGATAAGTTCTAAGTCATATTTCTTTGGTAGAATGTTACCAAGGTGAACTGGTATTTATTTCAAAGAAGCCAGAAACCCGTGCAGTTTTTGGAATACGAGACGAACAGCCCACGCTAAAGACAGACTAAATTTCAGTGAAAGTAAATCTTGTGGTGATGACTTTATATACCCAAAAGCACAAATGGTACACAGCTGCCTGCTCTAGAGTATACATTTGGGCAATCGTGTTGGTTCCTAATGCTGTAACTGAGTGAAGCATAGCATGCAAGATTTTCATTAAGTCAGAAAAGATGCGTTTTAGTTTGGGGAATGCTTTGTTAAAATTGATTTCATTAAAAATGATTACTATAAATATTTAGGAAAATACGTAATAGAAACCTGGAAAGAAAAACTGTTAGCAAAATAGAAGTTTAAGAATAATTATATCCCTTTGCTGTTTCTTGACAACATGAAATTAACACCAAAAATGTCATAAAGACCTCATTTACGTTTTTTTTAATTGCCATTAGCAATTTTCTCACCACAATCAGTTAAATAGTTTCATTCATTTAGTATCCAAATTGTCCTTCTGTATATTCAGGGGGGGTTGTAAACATGGCAGAAAAATATTTCTTTCAGAAAGTTAAAACTTATTGATTAGAAAACTAAAAACTGTTGGTAGGATTATTAAATATATTTAACTGCTTTACACAATATCTGACCATCAATACTAAATGACCCTTTACATCTTCAAGAAAAAGGTCTTTTAACACTGACTTAGATATTTATTTAGTTATTTGATCCAGTACACTTCTTTTACGTACCTAAAAAAACTTTTTCTTTTCCAATAGCATAGGTGCCACAGACAACTAGAGTACGTGGGTTTAAAGTCACTGTCTCAAAGGCAGTATTGACAGCAAACTGGATAACCTCTTGTTGAGAAGGAAAAGTGTATTCAGGACTACAGTATCTGGGGCATGGAAACAAGACACATCACTTGGTTACACAAGGTAGAAGACATCTGAATTTACCAAGAAGGCCCTCAAAACTGCACGCATACAATAACAAAGTAATGAAAAAGATCTTATCCTTCTATATAACTTCAGTCTACTTGCAATCTATTTATTAGAAACCACCGAGGTGCCCAGATGAAATTGTTGCAATAAAATTTACATTGAGTGTATCAGTCTTTTCTCTACAACTATTCGCTTGTCTGACACTGAACTCAATTCTGCAGTTTTTTTCTCTATAAATACCAAGTGCTCTTTCAAGCTAGATATTTGTATCACGTACTAATTACATCCTTATTTTTTTGTCATGCACACAAACCATAACATAAGGCATTATTCATTCACAGAAACACATGGAACAGAAATAAAAGACTGCAGCTGGGCATTAGCCATCATACACAGAAAAACAATTTTATATACATGAGTCAGAGAAAGGTCTAATGAAAACCTGGACAACTGATTTAACCATTTGGCATTCTTTCACTCTCTGAATTCCCCCACACCCCTTTTCATAACAGAGTTGAATCCACATAACCAATGTTCCATGAACCTCTTGTTTTAGAGCTGAACACTCAATGTATGAATTTTGACATCTAGAGTTTAATAACACTTATAAATAATAACGCCATCTCAGAAAATACTTTAGCATCTTTTCCACTACCCACTTTTATTCTCTCATGTAATGGCATAACAGATGAACAAGCTAGACATACATGGACCTTCAATAAATATCTGATTTTATTCAACACCAAATAGAGCTAACAAGTGTTAAAACAGTAATGTCATTTATACTTACATTTATTTGGTTCCTATAAAGTCTTATTAAACTGAAAAGAGGGTTATATTGAAAAAAAAAATTAAACACTACTTACGTGGTATCAAGGTAAAGGGTGTGGACTTGTTGACCGATCAAAGCAGGGTAGCGCTCCATGGAAGGATCTGCCCTGAAGTCTCCTGTGTGCAGAATAACAGTTCCACTAGGTAGACAGAAAAGGATCATTGTTGCACCTGGACAACTGAAACAACCAAAAAACCCCATACAAATTGTGTTAGTTCTCTATACTGATAAACTGCCTTAAGAGATATACCACTCTTCAGTAGCAGGAAGGTGTGCAGAACCGCATTTTAAATCACAGCTACTATGCAGCCTAATTTAGCTAGAAATTCCTGATTTCTAAAGGAACTTGAAGCTAACCCAATGGCCACAGACAACCTAGACTTGAGTTCTCAGCTGAGATGGAAGGAAGAAAAAACCACACCAACAGTAAAGTAATCAAGCATTAACTGCCTTTTTGGGATGCTCTGTCTTCTTCTAGGTACGACAAAGATGCTGCCTCAGTTGCAATCTCTGAGGCTCTATTATTTGATTTAAAGGGGAAACAGCACACCCAAGAGAAGCAGCATTCTTATTCAGGAGCAACAGAATTGTATTATTGCAGATGCATCTTCATTCCTGCAGGACTTACTGAAGCATTTCCTTTTAAATTCTATTTGCAGATTTTAAACTTTATCTTCCATCCAGAATTCCCTGGTTATAAATACAATTCTCTTATTGGCCTCAGCAAATCCATTGCACCTTCTGCAGTTCCTCGCCAAAGCTGTCTGAAGGGCAAGCGCCCAGACTGGAAAACCAGAGTGGGACTATTTTGGACATGAATCATCTGTAAAGGGTAAATGAAATCTCAAAAAAAGGAAAAACTGGCATGAATCAGAGCTAAAATGACAGAATTGGTGTACTCTCCAAAAAGCTGAACTTTGTACCTAAGGTTTATATGCCTTTTAAATTGAAGCAAGGAATCAGAGAGACAAACAGGAAAAATGAGAAGTGTCCAAATCACATAAACAGCAAGGCTTCCTTCATTCCCAGAAAGGGTTCTCAAAGGACTTCATGGAATCTTATCTCTTCAACTATAAACAAATCCTAAGATAAGTAATATTCAAACCAGCTGTGACACAGTGCTGCGTTTCAATACATACTTCAGGGAAAGGACTTTTCCTCTAGCCCATAGCCAAATAAGGTACCAAGAGGGAGAACGGCAAGAGCACAGGGCTGGAAGTCAGGTGCTACTGAACTTTAAATCCAGCATTACCACACACTGCCAGTGTAACATTGGACAAAAACCTCACCCGTCATCACCGAATCCAGTAGTACTCTTGTTGCACATTTCAACAGGCTTTTCTTTAAAGTTCAATTTTCAAAACGTTGGCTAAGTTTTGTCTCTCCCAGGATCCAAAATACTACATTTTTCTTTAGCCGAAGATTTCACTATCTTCAGTTGAAACTACAGAAATCCAACATATCTGATAATCAAATCTAAGAGGTTCCCAACTAGACACCAAAAACTAAAGTGTCCAGTCCACTAGAAAAATCATTCAACCTCTCAACAAGCTTAAAACTTATGGAGTTATGTGTGGTTAAAACTATGTACTCATTAGAACCAAAAAAAATAAAGTTAAGCTAAAATTATCAAAAACCCCTAAGTTTGATTTTCAAAAATAATTCACCTATTTCAAAAGCCAACTACTTGCAAGAAATTTAGGCTCCTACATGCCTAATTCACTTTTGAAGTGAAAATGCATGTTACTAAGCCAACTCAGGAATGTAAAGTATTTTCACCCTTATTTTTTCAGATCCACTGAAACCTAAAAATCATGAAAACATAAAACCGTATCTGTACAGCTATTTATCTTTAATATTCTATACATACAAATATTCCACAACAAATGCAATGATACGTACTGATTGGCATCGAGCAACAACACTTTGATCCCATTCACTATACATTCTGTGTCCATCGGCAGCACATGGATGTACTGCTCTTGGACTCGAAGTTTGCTCTTCACCAGGTTGCCAGTTATCTGTAACAGGGAAAGGATTTAATATGGAATAGGAACAAAATCTAAAAAAAGCCTTTGTTTATTTTAGAAACAAAGGCTCTCAAGCCAGACTGTCTGACTTAGAGAGAAACTATGAGAAACTATGAGATCCTGGGTATAATCAAGCCTTTCAGTAGCATTTCACCTCTCAAAGAGCAAACTGAAAAAAAGCTGTCTTAAAAAAGCACACTTTCAAAAGCCTGTCAACAGGTTACAGATTGGAATCAGAGAGGAGGCAAACAAGGGGGAATAACATCTGTTACAGATTGCCAATTCAAGAAGAGGAGGTGGGCAAAGCCTTCTTTAAACAACTGACGAAATTTCCAGGTCACAGGCCCTGGATCTTATAATGGGGGACTGCAGTCATCCCAGCACCTACTGAAAGGGCAACATGGGACACAAGCATTCCAGGAGACTTCCAGAGTGAATCAGAAATAGACTTTTGATGTAGGTTCTAGATGGGTTGATTAGGGAAGGTGCCCTACCAAGTTATGAGTAAAGAAGAGCTGGTTGGACATATGATAGCTAATGGCAGTCTCGGCCATTCAGCAGCCTGAAGCACAGGACACACAGGACCAAGCTAAAACAACTCAATTTGCTGAACATGGAGAATAGATGGCTTCAGTGGAATCTAATTTCAGACTTCCATCACTTGAATAGTCTCATAGAAAAGATGAAGCCAGATTCTTCTCCATGATGTGCACAAAAAAAACAAGCTACTGTCTCAAGTTGCAAAAAGGGACATTTCAATTGAATACTAGGAAAAAATTTCAGAGTGGGTAAGCACTGCAACAGGTTGCGAGGAGACGTAGTGGAATCTGTCCTATTTTCAAAATTTGACCGACAAAGGCTCTCTGCAGTCTGATCTGACTTTGAAGTTAGACCCACGTTATGCAGGAGATCGGACTATATGACCTCTAGAGATCCTTATAAACACAAATTTTTTCATGGTACCTAGACAGAGAAGTTTCACTAATCATCTTCATCAGTCAAATTAGGGTCAGAATTTCTTACAAGGGAAACCCAGATTCCCCTATACATACCCACGGTGCCTAATTGACCCAACAATGAAACCTATAATCTTCTATTTACTTCCATCAGTATAAAAGTGATTATAGTTGCATATGGATTTGGTAATATCTAGTCATCTTGGAAAACGTTACCTTATTACAGTAGATTGGAAACATGAAGTTTTTTGTTAGCCCACAATAGTGATCCGAGTGAAAATGAGTAAGGAAATAAGCTGTGCAGCCTTCAATTTCTCCATACTGGAAGGCATCAACTGTAAAACCAGTTCCTACAGCAAAAAGGGAAGAGAAGCCAGTCAGTAAACATGCATAGCTCAGAACTAGTTTTTGATTACATATTCCTTTTGTTCTTTTTTCTTTCTTCCAAATTAAAAGGTAATACAGTTACACGGCATACAGTTGAAGGAGCCATTTAAAGATGAGCATGGTTTGCGTATGAGTCAACAGTCACAAAAAAGATTTCACTTATTAAAATAAAAATTTAACAAAGTGTGTACACACAAATACTTTCTCAGGCCTCCCAAATATCCGTTGCTCAGCTGCCATCCTATACAGATGGCAACTGGTTAAGCAAACACATTTATCTGCATTCAGCTGGTATTTTTGAAAGTTCACGTAGATTAAAATCTAGTACCAACGTCTTAACACAAAATAAAACAGGTAACTACAGCTTAACAAAATGCATTTTGTGATGAAATTGCAATTTTTCAATTATTCGACATTTAATATTTCTCTTAAAACATGCTACCATATAATTATCAAGCAAGCAACCTGGGGTCTTCGAATACATCTGCTGAAACATGACTGATTTGCCATTGTATGCTTTCAGTGAGGTGCTGTTTGTATAAAGATGTTGCATAAACACAGCTGTACAGAAGACAGCCCTTTTCTCTGCAAATGTAATTTTTTTAAAATGCAAACACACTGACAAATGGTCTTTTCACATTGGGTTATACTTTCTTAAAACCACAAAATAGCTCATAGAACTAATTAATCTGGTGGCACTCAAACATTTTTCATTTTACGTTACGCAAACTTACCAGATCTTCCAGGAGAACTAGAAATAGTTCTACTTACTTGAGGCTAGAACTTCAAGTATTTGCAACTCCAAAAAAACATAGCTGTCCACTAATTAAAAATCACAAACCAAAAAATCCCCAGGTGTTTGAGAGGTACCAGACTCAAAACTTCAGGGAGGCTGAATTATACTAGACCATGGGGATAAATACATATCATTAGCAACACAGAAAATACAGTCAAATATATTTCAAATGTAGTAACAAAATTCAGAACAAAGATAATACAGATAATAATAAAGCAACTTTAAAATTGCGTTGTAGGCATAGGAGTCTGCTCTTCAAATTTATTACATATGGAAAATTCTCTAAGCCCGTAGAACCCATGATACTGGTATAACCCCACAAAGACTTACAGGCCAGTCTTCAAGCAGGAGCTTGGCACTTAGGATCACTAATATATTTCTATTTGGCTTCCTCAAATATCTACCTAAGACTAAAACAGTCCTTTCGTGGTAAACAGAACTGGGAGGATTTGAAGCTTTTTAAGCCATTGATCCATCATCCTGTATTTTATGTCATTGCTTGAGGAGATTCTGAGAAATTCTTGGCTGTTTCCTTAGCTAAATTCTTCTGCTTGGTTTTCATTTCTTTGTTTTCACAGTTGCAGTAAATCATATTTCTAATACTCGTGAATTTCAAATACAAATTTAACCTCAATTTTTTTAACTTCATGTAAGGAAATAATCACTAGTGACAGCCCTATTTTCAGGCACAACTGAAGTAATGTAAAAAATTAAATTCAGGAATTACGAGTGAATATTAACAAGGGACATACTCAAAATCATTTAAGAAAGTAGATCCATCTTTCAACACTGATTATGTTTTTTACTCTGTCAAAAACATGCAAAAGTCAGTTCTTGAAATAATTTTACTGAGATAATATTTCACTGTACTTCATTGATGAAGCCATTGCTGACTCTAGTTTTGCAATCACTTTCTTCCGGAGATCTGCACCTACACAAGATTTTATCAACTTAGATGGAGGAAAGAAAATTCATTATGAGCTGCAGTCTAAATGGTTATGAAGAGTGAAGAATACTGAAGCCTAAAATTAGAAAAAAAAATACAACACTCAAGCCAAAATTAGTTAACCTCTACAAAAAGAAGAGTTATCTCTCACCTGGTATTTTCTTGTAGAAAGGGCAGTGTTTTTTTCTTGTTTCTTCACCTGTAGTACGTAATTCTTTAAATTTTTTTCTCCACCTTCGTTGGCCACCAGAACTAACATCTGCAAAGGCTCCATTTTTACTTGAACTTTCTATAACTGCTTCTACATCTTCCACAGACCCTTCAGCTTTCCTTTTTTGCTGTTTGGGCCTCTTTCCATTGGGAGTTACTGAACTTGGTATCTGCTTTCCCTCACTTAAATGAGTCTCTCCTTTACTTTCCTCTTTTACTTTGGGTTTTAACCCAAAGAAAACACCAATGTCCATTTGCTTGAGTTCTTTGGCAGGACTGGATTTGGCATTCATACTTGCTAAAGAAAGAGATGACACTGTTTTAGAGATGGGGCTGGGAAAGCACACAGCAGCTGTATTAAGATTTCCTTCTTTCTCCACTACTGACTGCAAATTCTCCTGGCGAGCTGTTTTTCCAATTGCATTGGCAGGCATTTTATCTGTATTAGTTACGATGTTACTTGGGTCCCTCAAAACATTACTTTTCTGTGTCAGAAGAGACCCAGCACCTTCTCTAACTAGCAGTGATGATGTCTCAGTAAAACTCATGTATGCAGAATCCAAAGCACAAGCGCTAGTATCTTCTGACTCTGTATTACCTGCTTTAGCAGCACAGGAAATCAGTTCTGGCTGTTCAACCTCCTCGCAATTAAAAGGAAAACAGGATCCACTGGCTAGTGCCTGTTGCTGATGCTGATTATCTACACATGCTGAATTACAGAACTTGCTGTGACTCTGAGAAACAGTTTTTACGCTATGATCTACATGGTTCAATGTATTTACTTCCTCACAGTGGCTTTTTTTCAGTATTAAATTTCCCATTTTGGTATGCTCATGCTGAGACTTCTGCTGTGAGAAAAGTCCATCAAATGTTCTAAGCACCACAGAATTAGATTCTTCATCTTCAAAGTTCTGGACTTTGAATAATTTATTTTGTGATATTTGTACTTTCTTCTCCTCTTCCTCAATTTCTTCTTCACTTTCCTCAAAAGTACTCAGTGGAGAATAAGAAATTTCACAGTCACTGAAGTCAGCTTTTGACTGTAGTAGACTTGGCTGACTTGTATCTTTCTGACTATACAGATCTTCTTCTGTTCCACTTTCTTGAGAGGATGCAAAGTCATAAAATTCAAATTTACAACTATTATCTGTGGTCTGTGTAAGCTGACGTGTCTGTTGAGGCTTTTGAACATCTGCAAAAGAGGAAGTACTTTCACTGATTATATTTAGAGACTTCATTTGCGATGAACTCTGCACCATCAACGTACAGTCATCATTTGGGACATTTTTTACATTATTAGATGGTTTCTCATTCTGTGAAATGTCCTGTACGCAACCTGGGGAACAGCTGGGCTTTGCAGCAGTAGAATATGTCACCTTCCTCTCCAAAGTGTTTGCTGAAGAGTTTACAAGATAATCTCCTGCCCTGCTTGCTGCAAGCAGAAAATGGCTATAGCGCTTGTAGTGGGATGGAATGGTGGAAGTGCACAGTAAACCATCAGGACACTCTGTGAACACAGTTAAACAGAGAAGTAACGTTAATATATTTGCAAATATAGTTGGCATAATTATTAAAATAAAAATCACACATGACACAAAATTTAAAAGCTTTTTCTTATAAATGCAGCTATTGAAGGACAGAAGGCACAAGTAAAAAGTAATTTTCAAGCTGCCAAGACCTCCTGCCCTGAGCTGGCTAGAAATGAGAATGCTTCCAACCTAAAACCAAACAGCTACTCCTAATACAGCGCTCTGCCTGAATTAATACAGCCCTCTAACAACAAGAGTACTTAACCCTGTTTCAATACTGTGCTAATGTAATCATACAACTTCTAGTCTAGAATTGTCTCACATGCAAGCAATGAGCTCAGAGCAGTAGCACCAGAAAAGGCCAGTAGACGTGTTTCAAAACAAACCAAATCTCAGTTCTGAATCAACCTGAAATTCAATTTCAAATTGTCTGCCAGTTTACACATTAAATCTAAAAATCTAAAAAAAAAGACATGTATTATATGAAGAAAGTATTCAGGATTCAGATACCAGCAAAAAAAGCTGTGGCTGTTCCCTAAGTGTTTTTTGTTGAGAGTTTGCTAGCCTAACTTTTGAGGATTTTAAGGTGAATGCATAAATCAATCAGAGGGATTTTTCATCTGTTAATTATGGGAGTAAGATATGGAAATGAGGTGTTAACACATCTGCCTCAAGTTAAAACCACTGCCAAAATCAGGCTTAAAGGGCTCACATTTCACTGTTCTGAAGAAGAAACTTCACGGAAAGTTACAAAGATATAAAAGGAAAAGTGACTGTGTTACCTAAACGGCCTTTACTCAAGTTTCCTGACTGTGTACTTCTGCTTTTCAAAAGTTATGAGCTGTATTAAGAACGTAAGTTGGACACCTGGATATGTTCAGACATCGTATTTCCCCACATGAAACTAGCAATGGGAATGAGTCAGTTTTATTCCTCTCGTACAGAACTCGAAACAAAACTGTGTTGTCTTATGATACAGGAATGTTCATGTATAATTCTGTATAAAATTTCTAAAGCATACTGGATCAGGGGCTAACATTTCCAGTAAATTAGCCTAACAGACTATTTCAGCTTCCAACTGCCCATAGACAACTGGACAAGTCACACAGCAACACAGATACAGGATAGTAAAATTTATACCTAAGGAGAAAGAAATCCAGTGTCAAAAGTAGCAGCCTCTTAAATGAAGGCAGTTTTTTTGCTGACACTGACTTAGTAATTGAAACAGGTTCCATTATTTTAAAATGGTAAATATGCACGTTCAATTTCTTCAATAAACTAATAAAATTGGAGCTGGATAAACAACCATGAATCTTTATCACTACTCCACGAAGTTTGGAGATCAGATTCTGATGTGAGATTTTCATGTCAGATTTCGGTGTTCTTCACAGAGAACCAAGAATTTGGCATGCAAATAATACTGAGAAATTATCAGTAATAGCATTCTAAAAGTCATACCAACTACCATCTCAGATTTTGAACTAAATAAGAAATCCAAGGTTTACAGCAACATTATGTGAGGAGCCTTTAACTTTTCTCTGAAGGCTTTTTTCTTACTCTGTTCATACCTTTTTCAATGGATCCTGGAGTATCCAAACATTCGGCAACGTGCCATCGAGGTGTCTGGACCAATAGCAAAGAGAAAGGCATCTGGCAGCTCGGACAGTATCCATCATGAACGGGCTTTGCATTTTGCGAGCTCTGTCCCGTCAGGCTACTCACGCTTTCCTGGGAGTGCGCACTACTGTCATCTTTGCTTTGATCTACATCCTGACTTGGCCTTGATCGCTGCTCGGTTTCCTGAAGCGTATCAGTTTTTTCTACGGATTTTTTTTTACTTTTATTCCCCTTTCTTTTTGGCCTGCACTTGTCATCACTTACTTTCTGCACAGGTGTAGAGATGGTCTCTGAACTACTCTGTCGCTTTTGCTTCCTAAGGGATCTGTACTCCCAAATATCCTCTTCCAACAAAGCATCTTCAGACATGGCAACACATAAAATATTCTCCTGGTTTTTAAGTAACAGTTCGCAAATCTATCTTTCCTTCCACTAATACGTTTTCTCTTCCCTCCCCCCTTCGCTATCTGAAGAAAAGCACCTGAACTCCATTTTAAGAAAGCAACACTGGGCCACAAACCAAACAGCAGTCGGTGATGGGACAGAAGCATGGTGGATCCTATCCTAAAAATAATTTAATGAGCGTCTCTCTCAATATTTGTAATTACTCCCGTTAAAGAAAACCCGAGTCCGTAGGATGCAGAAAGACTTGCAGGGTGAGCCATTTCCTTCAGCTACCCCTCTCGTAAGCACCTGACCCGGCCTCGGAAGGTGAAGCCCAGCTAGCCCCGCTCCCCCGACTGCCCCGAAGTAGGAAGATTTTAAAAGAAAACGACGAAGGGTTCAGCTACGGGATCGCTGCCGGGAGTCACCAGACGGCGAAGGCCGACACCGGCCCCGCGCTGCCGGGAAGGGCCGCGCTC